AGCCCCCCCAGCCCCCCCAGCCCCGCTCACTTTCGGGGGGCCGCGCCCCCCCCGTAGGTGTGCTCCAGGGCCTCGTTCACCATGCGGAACATCTCGTAGCGCTGCCGGCCCCGCACCTGCACCCCAAAAATAACGGGGTCGGGGGGATGGAGACCCCCGGGACACCCCAAAAAAATGGGGTGAAAGGGGGGGATGGAGACCCCCCGGGACACCCCAAAATATCGGGGTCAGGGGGCATGGAGACCCCCGGGACACCCCAAAATATTGGGGGGAAAGGGGATGGAGACCCCCGGGACACCCCAAAACCACGGGGTCAGGGGGGATGGAGACCCCCGGGACACCCCAAAACCACGGGGTCAGGGGGGATGGAGACCCCTCAGGGACACCCCAAAAAAATGGGGTGAAAGGGGGGATGGAGACCCCCGAGAACACCCCAAAAAATTGGGGTCACAGGGAAATGGAGACCCCTCAGGAACACCCCAAAATCTCAGGGTCACAGGGAAATGGAGACCCCTCAGGGACACCCCAAAAAACTGGGGTGAAAGGGGATGGAGACCCCCCGGGACACCCCAAAATATTGGGGTAAGAGGGGATGGAAACCCCCACCAGAGACCCCAAATTTCCCCCCTCAAGACCCCAAATCCCTCCCAGAACCCCAAATTTTCCTCTTGGGACCCCAAACTTCCCCCCTGGGACCCCAAATTTTGCCTGGGACCCCAAATTTCCCCCCCGGGCCCCCCGCCCACCTGCAGGTAGAAGATCTCGTTCTCGGGGTCCTGCAGCCTCTTCTTGGAGCTCTCGGGGGCTTCGGCCAGGGGGGACAGGGCTGGGGGAGGGGCAGGGGGCTCAGGGACCCCCCAGACCCCCCCCAATCACTGCGGGCTCCCTGGACAGGCCACGCCCATTATTCATGAGCCCAGAGCATGCTCATTAGCATATCTGGACACACCCTTTTAAGCCCTGCCCCAAACTAATCATGTGACCAAACCCCACCCCTTTAGGCCACACCCCTCAAATTGACCCCTCCCATTAAGTCTTCACAGGCCACACCCCCACATTTAGCTCCACCCCTGAAAGCCCCGCCCACAGCAGGATTGGCCACACCCACCCACAAGCTCTGCCCCCACTCTCAATTAGCCACACCCCCATCATGCTAAGCCACACCCACCTCATAATCACCATATTTAGGCCACACCCCTTCCATTCCAGGCTCCACCCACTTCTGGTCAGGCCACACCCACCCAGCCCCATCCCAGCCAATCCTGCTGTAATTTCGATTGGCCCCGCCCCCATCCCGGCTCAGGCCACGCCCACACAGAAACCACGCCCTCACCTCGCTTGGCCCCGCCCCCGGCCCCGCCCCTCTTGCGCTGGGTCTCCTCCTCGTGGCGCCGGTCCCGGCCCGGGCAGGCGCAGACGCGCACCTCGAAACAGCGCCGGCCCAAAATCTGACCCCTAAAATGGAAATATGGACCCCCAAATCATCCTGGGAACCCCAAAAATCCATCCCGGGGCACCCCAGAACCTGGGACACCCCAAAATCCCCGCCCTGATCCAGCCAGGAACCCCAAAAATCCCAAATTCAGGCGCAGACCCGCACCTCGAAACAGCGCCGGCCCAAAATCTGACCCCTGAAAACGGGATTGGGGACTCCAACATCATCCTGGGAACCCCAAAATCATCCTGGGAACCCCAAAAATCCATCCCGGGGCACCCCAGAACAGGGGACACCCCAAAATCCCCGCCCAGGAACCCCAAAAATCCTAAATTCGGGCGCAGATCTGAACCTCGAAACAGCGCCGCCCCAAAATCTGACCCCTAAAAACGGGATTGGGGACCCCAAAATTATCCAGAGACACCCCAAAAATCCATCCTGGGAACCCCAAAAATCCATCCCGGGGCACCCCAGAACCTGGGACACCCCAAAATCCCCACCCAGGAACCCCAAAAATCCCAAATTCAGGCGCAGACCCGCACCTCGAAACAGCGCCGCCCCAAAATCTGACCCCTAAAAATGGAATTAGGGACCCCAAAATCATCCTGGGAACCCCAAAATCATCCTGGGAACCCCAAAAATCTGTTCAGGGGCACCCCAGAACCCGGGGAACCCCAAAATCCCCACCCAGGAACCCCAAAAATCCCAAATTTGGGCACAGATCTGAACCTCGAAACAGCGCCGGCCCAAAATCTGACCCCTAAAAATGGAAATATGGACCCCAACATCATCCTGGGAACCCCAAAAATCCATCCCGGGGCGCCCCAGAACCGGGGACACCCCAAAATCCCCACCCAGGAACCCCAAAAATCCCAAATTCGGGCGCAGACGCGCACCTCGAAACAGCGCCGCCCCAAAATCTGACCCCTAAAAATGGAAATATGGACCCCAACATCATCCTGGGAACCCCAACATCATCCTGGGAACCCCAAAAATCCATCCTGGGAACCCCAAAATCCTTCCAAAAACTCCTTAAAATATTTCAAAAACATCTTCTATTTTCAAGGAAAAAAAAAAATCGAATTTTAGAGAAAAAAAATCTCAATTTTTGGGCAAAACCCTCATTTTTTGGGGTGAGAGCGTTCAGATTTTTAGGATGAAAGAACCCAAATTCCAGACTGATAAATTCCATATTTTTGGGGGGAATCCCGCATTTTTAGACCCAGCAAAAGTAGATTTTGGGGCAGAAAAAATGAAATTTTCAAGGAAAACAAACAACATTTTTTTGTGGTTAGAGCTCCCAAATTTTCAGGGTAAAGAGTCCTGGGTTTTGGGGTTTTTTGGGGGATTTTTTGGGTTTTTTTGGGATTTTTGGCTCACTCAGGCATCTCCAGGGTGAGGATGGTGAGGATGGGTCTCCTGTTCATGCCCAGATTTTTGGGGTTTTTTTGGGGATTTTTACGTTTTTTTGGGGCGGTTTTGGGGTTTTTTTCGTGGGGATTTTTTGGGGTGTTTTAGGGGGATTTTTGGGATTTCTGGCTCACCCCGGCGCCTCCAGGGTGAGGATGGTGAGGATGGGTCTCCTGTTCATGCCCCCCATGCAGGAGCTGTTGCACATGAAGTTGTACAGGACCGTGGTGCACTCCGAGCCCACCTGGGAATGGGGAAAAAGCTGTTAGAACCCTAAAAAAACCCCTAAAAATACACCCAAAACTGCCCAAAAACCACCACAAAATACCCCAAAAAGTACCTCCAAAAATCCCTAAAAACCACCCTAAAAAACCCCTAAAAACCACCCCAAAATACCCCCAAAAATACCCTAAAAACCACCCCAAAAATCACAAAAAAATACTCTAAAAACCACCCCAAAATATCCCCAAAAAACCCTAAAAACCACCCCAAAAACGTCCTAAAAATACCCTTAAAATACCCTAATAACCACTCCAAAAATTCCCGAAAAATACCCTAAGAACTACCCCAAAAAACCCTAAAAATATTCCAAAAAATCCCTAAAAATACCCCAAAAAACACCCCAAAAAACCCCTAAAAACCCCTAAAAATACCCCCCAAAAAAACCTAAAAACCACCCAACAAATTCTCCCCAAAACCCCTAAAAATACCAAAAAACAACCCTAAAAACACCCCAAAAATCCCCAAAACTTCCCCTAAAAAAAAGCCCAAAAATGACCCCAAAAATCTCCCAAAACCAACCCAAACCAAACCCCAGAATCAGCCCCCAAAAATGCACAAAAACCCCAAAACATGCAAAACAGAAACCAAAGGACACAAAAAACCCCTAAAAACCCCTAAAAATACCCCCCAAAAAAACCTAAAAACCACCCAACAAATTCTCCCCAAAACCCCTAAAAATACCAAAAAACAACCCTAAAAACACCCCAAAAATCCCCAAAACTTCCCCTAAAAAAAAGCCCAAAAATGACCCCAAAAATCTCCCAAAACCAACCCAAACCAAACCCCAGAATCAGCCCCCAAAAATACCCAAAAACCCCAAAACATCCCCCAAAACCACCCAAAAAAACCCAAAACCACCCCAAAACTCCACCTGGGATGGGGGGGACACGGTTAGGGGGATTTTGGGGTTTTTATTTAGGATTTTGGAATTTTTATTTAGGGTTTTGGGGTTTTTATTTGGGATTTTGGGGGTTTTTTTGGGATTTTGGGGTTTTTATTTAGGATTTTGGAATTTTTATTTAGGGTTTTGGGGTTTTTATTTGGGATTTTGGTGTGATTATTTGGGATTTTTGGCAGTTCACTTGGGGTTTTGTGGAATTTATTTAGAATTTCGTGATGGATATTTGCGATTTTGGGACTTTAATTAAAAAATTTGGAATTTTTATTCAGGATTTCGGGGTGGTTATTTGGGATTTTGGGGCTGCTTTTTGGGATTTTGGGGTTTTTATTTAGGATTTCAGTTGGAATTTGGGGTTTTTGGGGTTCAGGGGATTTGGGGTCACCTCGGGGGGCTCGTAGGGCACGGCCACGCTGGGGCTGTGAGGGGATTTTGGGGCTTTTAATGGGATTTTGGAGTTTTTATTTAGGATTTCTCCAGGAATTTGAGGTTTTTTTGGGGTTTTTTTGGGTTTTTTTGGTTTTTGGGGTTCAGGGGGGTTTTGGGGTCACCTCGGGGGGCTCGTAGGGCACGGCCACGCTGTGGCTATGAGGGGATTTTGGGGTTTTTAATGGGATTTTGAGGCCGTTTTTTGGGATTTTGGGGTTTTTATTTAGGATTTCAGTGGGAATTTGGATTTTTTTGGGGTTTTTTGGGGTTTTTTGGGTTTTTGGGGTTCAGGGGATTTGGGGTCACCTCGGGGGGCTCCTAGGGCACGGCCACGCTGTGGCTGTAAGGGGATTTTGGGGTTTTTAATGGGATTTTGGAGTTTTTATTTAGGATTTCTCCAGGAATTTGGGGTTTTTTGGGGTTTTTTTTGGGTTTTTTGGGTTTTTGGGGTTCAGGGGATTTGGGGTCACCTCGGGGGGCTCCTAGGGCACGGCCACGCTGGGGCTGTGAGGGGATTTTGGGGTTTTATTTGGGATTTTGGGGTTTTTGATGGGATTTTGGGGTTTTTATTTAGGATTTCAGTGGGAATTTGGATTTTTTTGGGGTTTTTTGGGTTCAGGGGTTTTGGGGTCACCTCGGGGGGCTCGTAGGGCACGGCCACGCTGGGGTTGTGAGGGGATTTTGGGGTTTTATTTGGGATTTTGGGGTTTTTGATGGGATTTTTGGCTTTTTATTTATTTCATTACTACTTGAGAGAATTGGAACCCCAATCAGAAAAATCTATTTCTCTCAGACAGTATTCTCTTGAATCAAAAGAATAAATCCAGGAAATGGTCTATGTTTAGTCTCTTACATTTCAGTTTGTCTTTTCTGAGTTTGGGGTTGAATAATCTGGATGTTGCTTTGGGATCAGTGATTAAAAAAGTCATTAGCATGTCACATAATGTTACAGTATCAGTGTGAATTTATTATGCTGTAAAAAGCATGAACTGGATTCTTTTTGCCATAGCATATGGAAACTTGGAAAAAAATTCAAATGGTAATAGCAGCATCTACTCTGCTGTGCAAAAACTCTGGAGATGGAAAAATACAGGAAAATGGCAAACAAAACTGTTTGAGAAAACTGCTTTTTACATACCCTGATTTGATGATTTCAGAAAATTTCCTAGATGACTGTCATTTTTCCACCTTATTGCAGATGTGTCTCCTCTGTTAGCTAATGAGGTTAAGACTCTACAGAAGTCCCTACCAATCTTACTACACTGTTTGATTGGTTAGAAGCCTTCTTAAAACTCAATACAATACTTAAACATTCTTGCTCTTATTCACTTCCTCTTGCTGTGTCTTGGCACAAGTGTACCTCCAAAAATCCCTAAAAACCACCCTAAAAAACCCCTAAAAACCACCCCAAAATACCCCCAAAAAACCCTAAAAACCACCCCAAAAATCCCCCAAAAATACCCTAAAAACCACCCCAAAAATCACAAAAAAATACTCTAAAAACCACCCCAAAATATCCCCAAAAAACCCTAAAAACCACCCCAAAAACGTCCTAAAAATACCCTTAAAATACCCTAATAACCACTCCAAAAATTCCCGAAAAATACCCTAAGAACTACCCCAAAAAACCCTAAAAATATTCCAAAAAATCCCTAAAAATACCCCAAAAAACACCCCAAAAAACCCCTAAAAACCCCTAAAAATACCCCCCAAAAAAACCTAAAAACCACCCAACAAATTCTCCCCAAAACCCCTAAAAATACCAAAAAACAACCCTAAAAACACCCCAAAAATCCCCAAAACTTCCCCTAAAAAAAAGCCCAAAAATGACCCCAAAAATCTCCCAAAACCAACCCAAACCAAACCCCAGAATCAGCCCCCAAAAATACCCAAAAACCCCAAAACATCCCCCAAAACCACCCAAAAAAACCCAAAACCACCCCAAAACTCCACCTGGGATGGGGGGGACACGGTTAGGGGGATTTTGGGGTTTTTATTTAGGATTTTGGGGTTTTTATTTGGGATTTAGGGGTTTTTTTTTGGGATTTTGGAATTTTTGTTTAGGATTTTGGGGTTTTTATTTGGGATTTTGGGGTTTTTATTTAGGATTTTGGAATTTTTATTTAGGGTTTTGGGGTTTTTATTTGGGATTTTGGTGTGATTATTTGGGATTTTTGGCAGTTCACTTGGGGTTTTGTGGAATTTATTTAGAATTTCGTGATGGATATTTGCGATTTTGGGACTTTAATTAAAAAATTTGGAATTTTTATTCAGGATTTCGGGGTGGTTATTTGGGATTTTGGGGCTGCTTTTTGGGATTTTGGGGTTTTTATTTAGGATTTCAGTTGGAATTTGGGGTTTTTGGGGTTCAGGGGATTTGGGGTCACCTCGGGGGGCTCGTAGGGCACGGCCACGCTGGGGCTGTGAGGGGATTTTGGGGCTTTTAATGGGATTTTGGAGTTTTTATTTAGGATTTCTCCAGGAATTTGAGGTTTTTTTGGGGTTTTTTTGGGTTTTTTTGGTTTTTGGGGTTCAGGGGGGTTTTGGGGTCACCTCGGGGGGCTCGTAGGGCACGGCCACGCTGTGGCTATGAGGGGATTTTGGGGTTTTTAATGGGATTTTGAGGCCGTTTTTTGGGATTTTGGGGTTTTTATTTAGGATTTCAGTGGGAATTTGGATTTTTTGGGTTTTTGGGGTTCAGGGGGGTTTTGGGGTCACCTCGGGGGGCTCGTAGGGCACGGCCACGCTGTGTCTCTTGGTGGTCTCATCGTCCTGGTACCGGGCCTGGGGGTTCCCCTCCACCCGGATCAGGTGCTGGGGGGGGGCGTTGCCTGGGGGGACCCCAAAAAATCCAAAATTAAACCCAAAACCAACGCCAAAAATCCCAAATTAAACCCAAAACCAACCCCAAAAATCCCAAATTAAACCGAAAACCAACCCTAAAAATCCCAAATTAAACCCAAAACCAACCCCAGAAATCCCAAAAATCAGCCGAAAATCAGCCCCAAAAGAAACCCTGGAAACAGCTCCACAATTAACCCCAAAATCAGCTCTAAAAATC